ATCAATCGGATTTCCTCTCTGAAGACTAATACCCCAGTAGGAACATTTAATCGCAACCTTCTTTTAAATTTTAAAGTCAAATTGACGGGCTTTGCAGTAAGTATATGTACTAACTTCCACAGTGATGATCAAGTGCAAAACTTTCAATAACAGCCAACTGCAGAAAACAAACATCAGAGGACAGTATATGCGCCTTTATCTATGCAATTTTTATGTGATAATGAAGAGATATAAATGGAAAAAAAAATCATTTTCAGAGCATGCATCAAGTGAAGCAACTATAGATTTAAATGCTTCACTAAATATGTTTTATTGTCTGAGCTCTGAAAAGGCTTTGTAAATTGTAATTCCAAGTCAGGAAAAAATGCAATCTAAAGTGCCAGCTTAAATAAAAATATCATTTAGCTCTGCTGTATTTAGATGATTCATGCAAAAGGTTTTTTCAGCCCATTAATGTTTGGCTTGGCGACCTTATGCTCATTTAGCGATAAGTGTAGGAAACATTGACTGTGATATTCTGCACACGCATTCCTCTATGTGGCCAGTTGTTAAGTAAGTCCTATCAGTGCAAATTTCCCCCATCAGACCAGTGAATATCGAGAAAATGTGGGCCCTAATCCCCCCCCCCATGGCAGATTAAAAGCCCCTTTACTGAAAGACCACTTCAGCAGTCAACAGGACACTGAGATGTCACTGTGGCTTCCTTATGACACTGGAGCATCGCTAGGAATGGGACAAATGGTGGGCAGCCACTCAACACTTCTGTCCTAAAATCGCAGTGAGAGATTCTCACTTACACATCCTTAGATGTGTCCACGGCGGATTGTAACATGCAGTGGTCGCTGGTCTATGGTTCGAGCAGTGTGTGATGAGTAACACTGTGCCATCAAACACGGTGACAGCTGTACAGAGGGGGTTTGTTTCAGGGGCCCCGCTCAAAAAGTTACTTCCTCTCAGATGTTTCAATCACGAAATGAATAGCTAGTGTGTCAGATAATTGTAGCTAGCTGGTTAGGAGAACATGCTGCTTCAGCCTCTCCTAAATAAGGAACATGTTTATTTAATATTTAGCATAGTGACTGCTTGCGGCCAATGGGGGAGACCCCAGACCTCAGGGGCCCAACGCAAATGTGTGGTTTGAGTGTTGAAAAACACTCCCACAGCACTTCTGGGGCATGACATGTGGACCTGATGCTGGTGCTGTCCCACGCTGCTGAGAAAACGCAGCTAGTTGAGCTAAACCTATATCACAATCAATGGGCCACCCATCCAAACAGCAGCCGTGTAGAACTAGTAAATATGCAAATATGCTGATGATTACCCGCTGAAGCAGGAAGAACATCTGCCAGTGATACAGAGATACGGATCAAAAGGACTTCACACCAATGAGACGTCTCCATCCTGACTGACTTTCATTTAATTGAGCAGGGAATGGATTAATTCAGAAACGCAGCTATGCACCGTGTATCTATCCCAGCCAAGGGAAATGATTTCAGTCTGACGTCAGGCACTGTGATTTCAAAAGAAAATCCATACTCCACTCCATTCCACTTGCAAGGTAATGGAGCGGAGAGAGCAGAGACACGCGGACAGATGTTTCGCTAAACGCCGCGGCATGTTCTGGGGCGAGTGGGTGAGAGCCAGTCAGAGCCATAAAACCCAGTCACGGCTCCTTTAAACGGCAGACCTGAGAGCCGTACAGTAAACTAGAGGAAGAGAGCCAGCCAATAGCCCAGGAAAAATACAATCTTTCAGAAGAAAGCTTACCTTCACAGGCCTCACCCTTATCTGCCTAGGTGGCCCTATTTGTCTGCGATGAGGTCATCGTTCCAGTTAGGTCCAGCTGGGTGTCATTACTGCTGGCAACCGGGCTGATTATCGTTCGCCATGGGAACATGGAATCACCCAGATCCAGCCCCCTGCCACTGCTGCAGCCCACAGTCATGACACGTGTGACTTGAACCAGACCAGACGTTTACCAGCAGGAAAGCGGGCAGTCCATGGTACACTGTATTGCTGCTTTCAGTCTCTTGTGTTCTTGGGCCCAGCAGGTTGGACAGTGATGCATAGAAGCCCAGTCTATCTGTGCAGCAGCATAGGCCCAGGTGTATGCATTATGCACTATGCGTGTGTGTGTAAGATGTGTGTGTGGGTGTGGATTAGTTTTATATTACATTGTAGGGATACTAATAGTGAAGAAAAAAACTGTTATTTTGACATTCTAGGGACCATTTTTCATGTCCCCACAAAGATCTATGAATGCAGTGAAAAAACTAGAAATGCCAAAAGTCTGGTTACTTATGGCGAGGGTGTGGATTCAAATCCTGTGACTGGCAGAGTAATCATGGCGTTGCTGGGCCTTGAGAAAAGGCCGTAACGCCGACTGATCGAGGGATGCTGACTGACCTCCAGCAGTGTTTACTATGGTGTCTGCTAAGGGCAGCAACATTACCAACGAAAATGAAAGTTTATATTACTAAATTGTCATTGTTGTATTCGCACTGTAATCTCCCATTTACCTTGACTCATGTACTGCTCACGGCTTCCGGGATCTTGCGGGATTAACTGCCGCTCCTCGACAGACAGCCGACTCTGGTTACAGAGACTCAGAGACAGTTGCCACAGCAATGACTCAATGCCTAGCACAGCACAGCCTTGTATTTAACATCCAAAAAACTGACCTTGCGAAATGCGGGAAGGCACTGACAGAAATATTCAAATAAAATGTTCATATTTTTTAACCTCAGTTTCCTGCAGGTAGTGACCTAAACCAGCGGCAATTTCTCAGCACGAACTTCAGCTCAAAAGACACCATACGGACTTCATTGGGTTTCCAGTGGTTTATGGCAGCAGTCATTTGGCCTGTATGAGTTAAGCTTTGTGCCATTTTGTGTTGCCGTCTGCAGTGAACTAGTGGTTCAAGGGCCTGACTGATGACCACAGCAGCTCCATGCGGCGGACGGTCTTCCCAAAGCTGCAGGTTCACGTGCCCAAGCCTGTATCACGTGTCAGGGGTGCGTGTGTATCGCGTGTGCGGATTCGGTGCTGATGGACGTTAGCATCTTGCTAATAGATGGTCCTCCCTGGGTTATTTATACCCAGTTTGCTTCCCCCTGGACCTCTCTAAAGAGGTGTCCATGATCAGACCTCCTCCCGGGCCACATCATGCCGGCCTTTCCTAATACGTACAAAAGCCGGCAGAGGTGGCGTGCAGACCCGCTAACATCAGGGCTATTCTGGTGCCGGTCCGAGCGTTGTGCTGATGGCGATGGATTAACGAGACCGGCCACTCGTCAGTCGTAATTAGAAACAACGCAGCCCCTATTTTAGGGCCTGTTCCTATGCAGAGAAGCTGACTAGCCACATGATGGGCCTCCGTACCTCTGCTCCTCCTCCCCGGTGTAACGCGGCCTTGCAGTCCGTCGGGAGTAAATATAGGGTGTACATCATGACACAGGGCTCAGAGGATGACGATTGGCCCCTCATTGCTGCCTCAAGTTTGCTTCAAAACCACAGATTTGTATTCCTTTCATTGAATTTTGTTTGTATGTTTGTACAGCACCTCTCCCAGTGTAATTGCCTCAAAGTGCTTAACGAGTAATCAAATGTCACTGACATATGACATAGTTTGTAAAAGTATAGTACAAATGAATTGTGAATAAAGTGTTGGTTCCAGTGAAAGTATATATTTCTTGGCCACATTTGTGGGTCTTGTTTACCGCAGGAGGTGTGCTTGCCAAACGAAACAGCATTTCCTGTTTCCAGCCCTGCTTCCTGTGTCTCATGGAGCTGACCTTGCTGTTTCTGTGACGGTCCACCCTGGCATGCGACTTGGGGGGGAGGGGGCATAACAGTGGCATGGCTGGCAGGGGGGGGCTGGTGGCCCACACGCAGGGCCAAGAGGGCAGAGCGACGCTGTGGGGTCACGCCGACTCATCCAAGCAGGTGATGTTTATTTACAGCGTGAACCCAGACACAGCAGCGCCCCCCAGCACCAGGATACTAACAGGATATACAGATAAATATTTAGAGGTATTAATATCCAATTATCACAGCAGTGGTTATCCACTGTTTTGGCAGCGTTGGTCCGGTCAGGCTGCGTCACCTGAACATGGCGTTCAGCTACAGTGGGTGGTCAACGCAACCAACCTCAGACTCTGCATGGTCACTGTCACCCCGCTAACCTGAACGCGGTGTTCAACTACAGTGGGTGGTCAACGCAGCCAGCCTTAGGCTCTGCACGGTTACTGTCACCCCGCCAGCCTGAACACGGCGTTCAGCAGCTCCTCCTTCTTACTGCAGGGCACTGAAGGATTCCTCCTGTCCGTGTCTGGTGAATTCTTGCTCTGTCCTCATGCTGGGGACGTGCTTCAGGTGCTCAAGGTTTGCATTAACCTCGCAACTTTGCACATAATTGCATCACTGGTCTCCTGTGACGAGATCATCAAGAAGAATGACCAGCAGTGTCCTTCTGCGTAGCACCTGCCTGTGACTTACCTACTCACTGGGTTATTTTAAAGGTCCCATTTTACCTACATTGTCTGCAAAGGTGTCGTCACTGTGTTTAGTAAATCACTGCCAGCCTCCTCACGTTGGTCAGAATCTCACAGGTTATCAGAGTTTAATCCTGTAAGCTGAGTTGCCAATCGAAAGGTCAGAAGCCTGGCAAAGGGCAGGTCAGGCGCTAGGATTGTATTGGGGAGAATCGCGAATCGAACAAAGGGCCAAACACAAGAGACTCCGAAATCGAGAGAATTCAGAATCAAAAGAATAGAAAATAAGAAATGTTCAGACCAGCACTTGAAATGAGAGTCATCAGTGTATCACCATGCTGGAATTATAGCACAGGTGAAAACAATGAGGTGACAGGATTAGTCCAATCAGTATTTTGGAGGGGGTGACTGCAGGCGATTCCACTGGAGTTTGTGGGGGTGTGACAATATCCAGCCTGTATGAGAACAGGGTTCTGCTCGATTAAATAACAGCCAGCACACAAGAGGTCTGGAATCATTTAATCCCTTTATTTCAAAATCCACAAGGAAGGTAAGGAACTACAAAATTACAATACTTAAACTTTGACAGTTTAAGAAAAGGGATAAATAAGTTGGAAATATTGAACAGGTCATGCAGGAGATGTGGAAGAAGGCCTCATCTTAAATATAGCACCCTTTATGAAAAAATAAATCCTGCTGTTTTATAAGTCAGTGCAAAAATAGTAATGATTTATGCATAGAAATGAAGTCATGGAGACATACAGAATATACTCAACAACACAATATATGCACACACACCTACTGTATCTGCACGTGCATGACGAACACAAGCCATTCACAAGAACCTTAAGGATGGCACACGCGGAGCGGTAAACACCCCCTACCACAGTGACGGGTCTCTCCGGCTTTCCGGTGGAGACGCATGAAGGGTTAAAGCCCTGGGGGGAGTCTGCATAAACCGCGTTGTGACAGTTAATGCGTCGCCAGATGCACCGTGATCTCTGCCGCTGCGTAATGCGCAGTTCATGCCTCGCACCCAAGAAATAGTGACACAGTATTTCCCACTTGTCTACAGGAAGCTCTTGTGCTCACGAAGGCCCTTGGAAGGGGACGGAAAAGGCAGCACGGTGGCCACGCCCTCCCGCAGGGGCAGCTGCATCGCTCCCAAGTGATAGGCGCGTGGTCTAACAGCTTTTAAAATGCAGCCACCTTCAACAGCTTTCACAGCAAATATCTGCGCTGGGGAATCTCCCAGGAAATGAACACTGATACGATACAACATGCAGGTAAGAAGCACATGACCGGCGTCACATGACGCCCAGCGCTGGTTCCACCCTGCTTCCTACCGTCAAATCATTCGAACGATATTTTTTTTAAAACCTACATAGGCACACAAATGGCAAATGCACTCTCAGTCTCCGCCCATCTGCACACAAAACTGAAAAATTTACCTACGTGGTAGTTCAAGCAACAGCTAGATATATTTTAGCCAATGATACAGTAAAATTTGCGTTTATTTCAAGGAACACGGATGACGGAAATGTCACATCTGAATGGTTGCCCACAGACACACAATATCAGGAACATCGATATTAAAGACCGAAAATGAATTACATGTAACATCTGCCCCAAGACATGTGTACAGTGACACACTTTTTTAGTCAGCACATATTTACTGGATTGCTTAATTGCTTATTTTTGGATGTTATTCGAAGTGTAAGTATACTGTGTCAACGAATGAAATGTAAACCGGCGAAAACAGACAGCGCATAAAATTCAGAGTGTGTATCCAGATCTCACAGCAAAAGCGGTTAAATATGTCCGGAGGGTCACCTCTTGGGCAGACAAAATACCTATCATCTACAGCTAAAGCATTTCCCAAACGCAAGCTTACATTAGCCCTATATTCAGGTCATCTCACTGACTACAATTACAGGCTCATTTCAATTCATGAAAAAGTGTATTTAATGAGACAGGATGTAAGATGTATGCTCGTTAGATGAAGACGCTTGACTGGAAACTGAATCCGCTGAGAAATATTCAATCGTACAGTCTCTCCAAGGTCGCCTCCTTCGAAATTACAAGCTGTGTTTTTATCTAAGGTACTGTGTGTGCAGGCTGATAGCTCTTCTGCAAAGCACAGGTGCTCTGGCGTCGACTCCTTATGTAAGTGGGATGTGATCGCAAACGTTGCCTTGTTGGTCGGGGTGTGATCGATGCTAAACGTGTGCCGGTTTTCCTTTAAAGAAGACGACTCTATAGAGAAACCAGGGGATGCTGATGATGACCTGCTAGCCCTCTTATCCTCCACCAGGAACAAGATGAAATACGACTACGAAAGAAGGACGATGGTCAAACGACGTCACAGTAGCTAGTGAGCAAGCAAATAAATAGCATCAATGCATTTTTTCCTCACGTGTGTGTAGGACTACCACTGCTAACCGTTGGGCTCATGAGTAAGACCCTTAATCCCCAATTGCTCCAGGGACTGGCTGACACTGCTTTCTCAAATGTTCATCATTTTGGAAAAAAAGCATCTGCTAAAATAAACCTGAATGGATTCAACAAAAAGAAATAAATGGATCGAGGGAATGCTAACGTGTAGAACGCCAACATTTCTTCATGTTTGGCCCTTGCTTGCCAGAGAGGTGTTGCGTTATCTCTCTGGCGGTGGTTAGTGGGTTTGTGCTCTGATATCCACACTGGCGCCTGTTAGTTTCCTCACGCATCACCTGTGAGCTCACACCTGCCTCCGTCATGTTCATCCCACTTCAGCATTGTAGGATAGAGAATGGGACTGTGTGTGTGTTTTTTACACCAGATTAGGTCTTGGTAGCCTAATGGCAGCTTACAGAATGAGCCTTGCGACTGCTACATGTACCAGAAGCTGTTCGTTCCCCAGCACGGCGGCTTCCCAGACCGTGACACATAATCCAAACAGCCTGTGAAGCTAGCATGCAAAGCGCTACAACAGACGGTACGAGAGGCGCACGCTGTGATGTAGCGCCCTCACAACCAATGGGAAGACGGCAGGAGCTTGGCCAGAAATAACCAGCAGAGTCAGGGCGGTAAGGGGAATCGGCATGCTTTGAGACAAGCTAAATAGGCAGTTAGCTACCAAAAACAAAGCCTGGAAATCCGAGACTCCAGAAAGCGGCGTACAGCAGTCTCGGGGCTCGCAGCAGCAACGGTTTAGTAGTATGATCATCTACACCTCTCCTTCTTGTTTTGGAGGCAGATTGTACATGAAAACCCTGGAGACGCCTCTTGACCTTGTGCGGTCACCTGTAGTCGCCCATAGCTACTGTTGTTCTCTATTTATGCAAATCCGTGAAGTTGTTTTAAGAAGTTGCAGCAAACGTTTTTGGGAAGACGTGTCAAACTGGGGTTCTTAGTTCCTGCCATTTTTAGGCTGGGTGAGGAGGTACGGTATAAATTAAGGCAACTACCAGGGAGCGGCGAGAGTGCGGGCTGCTGGGAAGTCGGACACAGCCTCGTAGAGTCACCCAATGCCTTCAAAGACGGGGTAGGATGGCCCGGATTCCCCACCCCTACCCGAGAGCCCAAACGCTGAAGGTTACATCACAGCTGTGGGTGTCTGCATCCAGGATCATAATTTGTTGTATTTGTAAAAAATATATATATTATATGCACGTTAAAACCGAAGCATTTTAAAAATAGGGTGTTGAACATCTGTCATAAGAGGCACAAGGATAAACCAGAGGAAAAGCAGCCATGAATGGCAAAACAAGCAGAGAATAGGACTATTCTGAGGTGTGTGATCTCCTAACACACTGTACAAGACTAAAGCCTGGCCCAGCACTGCTCTCTACACACCTCTGTCTCTCGACCCGGTACTGACATGCATATGAACTTTACATCTGGAAAACAAGGGAATTCCCCTACAGTGAATATCTGGGGAACGCCTGTTATGGGACTAGCACTATGCTACTGAGACACACAGCTTATCGAGAATGGGTTCAACTTCTTCATGTGGAGTGTTCAGATGAAGTCGTAGACTGCTATGAAGTGCCAAGAAATTAAGTAACATCTCTTTGTCTTCCTGTCATACTCCTGTGCCACGAAATTCGGCACAAGCCCCAGTATCTGAAGCCAAACTGAAAACAATAACAAAACTTTGTTTAATCACTTGTGAGCTGGATGCGTTTAATGAGCACTCTATATACACAGGTCCAGCTCCTGTCGCATTCCACACAGAAATTATTGCACAGTGAAGCCACAGAGGACTTAGTCTGCTCACTGCCCCCTAACCCCGCGTTTCAATTCCCATATAAAAATAGCTTGAGGACATTAACACACCAAGTAATGCATTCGCTTTTTTGGCGGGGGGCACGCTTGCCCTCTTGGTGGAGACCGAACCAGTTGTCCCAATGCCACTAGGAGACGGGAAGCTCTCCCACTGCAGAGAGGAGGACACACTCCGGTCCTGCTTGGTCACGTCTGCTTCGGCGTGCTCCTGTACGCACAACACGCCTCGGGATCAGGGCCACAGCACTCCAGGCCTCTGGACCAAGTCCCAGTCTTCTCGAGACCTCAGATCCAGATCTCTCCCAGCTCAAGTTGTACCGGAAGCTCTGAGGAAGCTCAGCAAACGTGTTCACCTTCATAGCCAATCACAAAAGGACCCATGTCATCCTTAAAAGCTCTTTTCAGACGATGGTCTCCACCCCGATGAGCTTTGGTGTCAGGATCCGTGGGGTGATGCCGTTGTTGAGGTCCTCCTCAAACTCCAGCAGCTGTCCCATAAAGTTGAGGTTTGGAGATATAATCGGCCTTCTCGTTTTGACAAACTTGTAGGCGTCCGTCATGGTCATCCAAGTGTGCTTCATTAAGTAGGCGATGACGATGGTGGCCGATCGTGAGACGCCGGCCTGACAGTGAATGAGGACGCCCCGTCCGGCTTGGTGAGCCTCTTCTGTGGGCAAAAACACACAATAAAGTATGATCACACAACTCTGTGATTTCATGGACCATTTTTAGCAACATAAATCAGCGCAAACAGCTTGCTTCTGTCGGCTTCCCACGGTAACCCCGAATTCCCACCACGATCCAAACAACACAGACCAGCCTCTGCAAAACCATCCTTAATGCATCATGGTGTGCGGTAATTTATGAAGTGCAGTCCCGCTCAGGAAGGGCTTCATATCGCCGACACCCAAACTGAATAAGCAATTACTGAAACCAGATGGATTGCCACGAGGGGTGATTTTTTTAACACAGAAAATATCTGCACAATGTTTCCTTACAGATTCCCTACAAACCACATTAATTCTAAATTTACACCCTACTAACACTGTAAACCTTAACATTATAATCGGTCTACCAAACACAGTGATGAAGTAATGGTAACTGAGGATACCTCTGGATGAAGAAGTGATGTCTGACACACAACAACTTATTCAGAACAGTCAGTTTCATGCACATCATATTTAATTTTTAGTGCCATTAAGCTGGAGCATAAGTAGCTCACTGCGCCCTCTACAGGCGACCGGGAAGGCATTTACTAGCGTGCTCAGGTGAGCTCCGAATGTCTACAAACACACACAAAGTCAAGCTTCAGGAACAAACGACTGGATCTTTAAATCCTTCACGCTCGAAGGCTGACTTTACAAAACGAGGCACCCCACAGAGTCTAACTTCTAAAAAAAACCAGAGCTGTGCTTCAAGGGCATTCCGGTGAGATTCTGGCTTAAATACGGATATCCTGAGAACCTGTCGCCCCCTGACTCTACTCGCTTTGGCACTGATAGAAGAGCTGTAGGCTTAGGGAAAGGTTCTGTCCCAACAAGGGCATGTCTCGTTCTTTTGTAGGTCTCTCCTGTGTTATCAGCTCTCTTCCACCGATAATGTGAAAAATAAAGTAAGAAAGTCCGTAAGTAAATGAATATGCAGAAAAATACTGTATTTATCACACACATTGAATGAGACTTTTCTGTTACATTGTACCTTGTGTCTTGTATTTATTCTTTGTCGGCATTATTTCATAATTGTTAGTTGCCCAATGTCATGGGGCCTCCAACTATAAAAGGCTGTGCCAAAAAAAAATTTCCACTGGCCTTTGTCATGTGGCAACAAAGATTCTGATTCAGATTTTGGAGGGAAAATTTTGAGTGAAATAGCACAAATGTCAGCTTTACCTACCGATGAACTCAAACGCCTCCTCAAAGTACTGCCTGAGGTTCTGCTTGTTGCTGTCTGTGGCGGGGAGGCGCTTGTACTTCAACAGGCCCTGCTCGTAGTGGTAGAGGGGCAGGTGCGTGGTGACGTTGAGCACGAAACCGACGTTCAGCCTCTGCATGAGCTCCAGATCCTGAGCATCGTGCTCATTCCCCAGGTACAGGAAGGGGAGGATGGCGGTCAGCTCGGCGTTCTCCATGTCGGGCGTAGCGGGCAGGGAGGGGGGCAGGGCAGTGGCCCCGCCCGAATCCAGCCCCTCATCCAGCTGCAGGAAGTTCTCACAAAGGTTCTCATGACTTTGCCGGAAGCTGCTCAGGCCTCCTATAAAAGGGGAGTGAGAGGGTACCATCAGGGGTGGGTCTGGCATTTTGGGGGCCCACTCAAAAAGTCACTTCAGAGACCCCTGCCCCCCTGGGCTAGTGACTGTATATGGACAACAGGGGACCTCAAACATCAAGGGCTCCCACGCAAAAGCATGGTTTGCATGCCAGTAAACACCACCGCCCAAGACGTCACACTCTCACAAGGGTGGCGGACTGGTGGCGGTAAAGGGCGTGAGCGGCCAGTATGGTGTGAGGCCTGATAGGACTCCTTTACAGAGTCAGGCTTCTGTATGAAAACTCACATTATGCCCATTTTTTGCTGGTTTCTGCATTATTATTTTCTATAAACGTGAGCCCACGTTATATTTCTTCGACCAGCTCCTGTCCACACAAGTCAAGTCTCGGCTAACTGCAATCCAGTGAAATCGCAGTCACAGTTCAGTTCTTATCCTGTATATTTCTGGTATAACTGTTAAAAATTAAATAAACATGAACAAGGATATAATGACATTTACCACACATTTTACGCTACGCCTTAAGCTACCACATGGAACCTAGGAATCACACTTTCCTCAACTATTGGACGGGGTCAGGGTTAGTCAGACAACGACTGAGCACCTGTTGGTATTACATCAGCACTTTGACCTTCCACCAGTACTCCCAGTGTCGAGGTATTAAAGTCAGTATCAGTTAATGTATTGTTCACAAGAGAAATGACATAATGCCAAATGACATCATCACATGCCCTCACCACATAACCATGGAAATGAGGTAGGGGAGCAAACCACATCCACTGCCGGGTGGGGGCGTAAATCACCTGCTAAGCACAACTAACAAACTAGCTCAACAAATCCGTTAGTAAATGAATGAAAGTCACATTTGTATATCACGGATCAATGACAGTACTGGTTGGGTAACACTGACAGGTCCTGTATGCATGAGAATCATCCCCCCTCCCAGTGTCACAAATTCATGGCTTCCTGTGGTAACTGATCCAGTTAAATTAAGGGAGGGGACCTTCCCTCGACCTCAGAATCTGGTCATAACTCATAACGCATAAAATGCCCTGAGAGCTCTGTTTCTGGCATCAGTTAAGTCTTTGATCGGTTTCGTTCACTTTACATAAGTGGCATATTAAGCACCAATTTTTTTTTTTTTTTAAATGTCTTCAACGCTTCCCCTTCGATGAAGCAACTTTGAACAGCTCTAAAGTGAGATATACTGAAGATTAAAAAAAAAAGTGACACCATGTGATCACGTGACCTTGCTGAGGAAAGTACCGAGGTCTCTCATATACAGCTCCCCGTCCTGCTGCTGTTTTTAAAAAGATTACCACATTGCTGACAGGTTTGTCGGGTGTCATTAAACCATATTTTAGACAAATATGCTGGTATATCTACGTTCTTTGTTTAACAGCTTCTTCCTGTGCTGGCCAAACTTGACTGTATTCCGTTAACACACTGAAAAATAATGTTAATTATTACTTAAAAAGCAAGCCTTATCCTGTTTTTATGATAATAATAATAATATAATGACAGAAAAGGTTTTTTATGAGCTAAATATAGCTATGATGTCCACATGCTTGTAATCAATAGATATGACTCAGGACATTTACATTTCCAAGCGACACGGTCAATCCTTTCTAATTTATGGCTGAACCTTTTTTCCCACACAGTACTGGAATAAATCATTCTAGCCATCCCCGATTCAGTAGCCTGAAGTCAAAGCCATTACCGTCACATTACGTTTTGTCACAGACGGCTTTCAGCGTTGTCTTTGGATGCCTTTGAAGGCATCTGCCGGGTTTTTAATTGAAATACGTGGAAAATCAGCGAAGAGAATTGATATGGCGTGTACATATGCTGACGCCCGGCCTTAACAAACAGGATTAGCAGGTGATTGATGGTCATTCGTTCTGTAACTGCCCCTCAGGGCTGCAGGATGCACACATGGGTTTCGGCTAAAATCCCAGGCCTTCCCTCTCATTCTAGGGCCTGTTTTTCAGGAAGGGTGTAACCTGGCCTCTCAGCACCACATCATCTGTGGCACTGATGTGCTCAGCCCCAACCCGCCCCCCCCCGAGGCCAGATCCCCAAACCAAAAGATGGAGAATGTGGCCCCCAGCCAGCAGCGGCTGCTAGGCCAGAGCTCAGTGTTTACAAACAGCTGCTGTAAAATCAGCCAAATGTCCCGCCGTCACACAGCAGGAGTCAAAACCAGAGGCTTTTTTCATTCAGGATTGGGTTACGTCTTAATCCATAAACACATATCTTCAGTCTAAAGTAAACATTCAGGCCCTTAAAGCACGAGCTTGACACAAAGGTTTAACAAACACGTCATGGAAAATTCACCCCAAATAAGAAGGGGGCCACAACCCCTGAAGAACAAGGACACATGAGAAAGTTTGTTCCTCTTGACGGAGTCACCCTTTAATACCGTATTTTACATATTTTTTAGGAGACACTTCTATCTGAAGCGATATAAGCATTGCTGAGAAAGCAGTGTCAGGAGCAACTGGGAGCAAAGGGTTTTGCTCAGGGATCAAACAGTAAAGAACAGTAAAGAAACCCATGATCTTCCACTCATGTACATGGAATTCTAAAATACAGAGGCACACACACTGCCCCCAAGAATTTATTTGGTTCTTCTAAGGCTTGACGCCAGGTCGAATGATATGATGACACAACTGCTAGGCGATTGAGCTACTTGGCTCTCATTGAGTCCGAAGGTTCGTAGCATCAGCGAGCTTCAGCTCCTTTTCAACGCCACCCAGGAATCTCACATCCTGACTATCTGGGCCCGAGCAGGAAGGAAACGTTTCTGAATGAGACTCTCCTACAGGCCTACAGCCAATCACGTCTTCAGGTAAACAATTCCTTTTAAAAAGTCAGCATTTTCTGCACACGTAGAGGTACAGCGACCGGGAGTCTTGCGCCTGCAATTAAAAAGCCGCTATACGGGCAGTCTGATATGTCTGAAACACGGCGGAAAGTCCACGGCGAAACAGATCGCTGCCTACGTGAAGAAATCCCTAGAGACTCAGGCCTCCTCTATTCCCTGCCCCCGTCAGGCCTACTCCGCCATGACACACCAGCCAAAACTGCTGACATGAAATAGGCCTCCCCTCCTCCCATCGATCGATAGACCCAAGCTGAAGTACGTGCTTAAATTAAACTAGTGTCGCTTCCCTGGGCCTCTTCAGGTTCTGCTGCTCAAATGGCTCAAGCCAAGTACTCAAAGAACTTTACCTTTCAAAACCAGGGGGTCCTTCCCTTCTCTCCTGAGTGACTCCAGGACGACATTGAGGGGCTGCGATGGCATCAGTCTGCTGGGGTCGCTAGTGCTATCATCGTAAACAACTATCTCTTTGGAGAAGATGCCCTTATAGGAGTCCTTGCCTTCCCGGCAGGAGATCAAGTCCAAAACAGTGATCTTGCCCTGCTGCAGCCTCCGGCGGCTGATCTTGTCGGAACAGCTGATGTGCAGCGCCCCCTGGATGTGGCTTTTATTATACTCCGTAAACGGACGGCAGTCGATGATGACCGGCACTGGGCCGATTTGGTGGCCTTTGGGACAGCGGGTCATCTTCTTGGCCAGCTCGTTGGGGTGGATGACACGGGTGGCGCTGGTGCCGGGCCCGAGAATGCCAACCGAGGCTGGAGAGCTTGCCGCCTCATTATTGTTGACCATGGGGCCAGGAGTGCCGGCGAAGGGGACCCCCGAGCTCAAGTTGGGACTGCTGACACTGATCTGGCTCTGGCTTTGGCTGTCCTTCTCGTAGGTGGTCACCGTGCAACAGCTGGCGCTGCTGCATCCGCAAGACAACGATCGCGATGAGCCGTTGGATGAGGGCATATAAGTCAGATTGGCAGCCCGGATCTTCACCACAGCTGTGCCGATGGCGATCTGGCCGGAGACAGAGATGGGATCCAGGTAACTGGTGTCCGGGCAGAGTTTGAGTTCCTGAGGACGGACAGGCCTTGGGAGGGGCACCACAATTCTGTCGTCAAGGGGAGATGGAGGCATGGGGAAGCTGAAGACTGGCGACAAGCGAGAACTCAGGAATCCGGGCTGCGGGCAATCAGAAGGTCACAATCAGATGGCGACGAGACAGCAGCCAATCAGAAGCTCAGAATCAGACAATGGCAAGACCACAGCCAATCAGAAATCATGTCTAATTATAGGCCATTACAGATTGGGATAATTGATTTATTAACTTCACAACTGCAGTGCTTTTTCTCCCCACAGAGTATACTTTAACAGATTACACATTAATCTGAAAGTCTGAAGCATAAACTTTGTTTTTATTCTCAATATTTTCCTGTAAATGAACCACTACAGGATAGAAATTAATCAAACTATGTTCATAATCACGAAATCTCTCCAGGGCCTTAAATGGACATTTTGAACCACTTTTATATTTTAAAGGATCCTATTTAATCGCACCGAATATTTTCTATAATGTTATTCGGTTTAATAATTCCGAATTTATTTCAGCTCGAAACCAAGCAGAGCTCAGGTCAGACTTTGACTTTAATCCACGATGTTAAAAATTATTTTTCAGCAAACGGCAACATAACAAAATACTGCACCCACTGCGGGAGTACTTCTAAAAAGGCGTCTGGGGCAGATGACGGCTCAGCCGGAGCCTTTTCCCATCATTTATGCGTCTTATAGCATCACGGTTGTTGTCACACCAGTACGTGTTACAGTTACAGACTATGCAACGAAAAATGGAAAGAATGAATTAATCACAGATACCGGCATGAGTACGTGCACAGAATTAAGACACGGGTCACTGTTCAGCTGTCCAAAGGGAAGTTTTATTAAATATTATTTTTATTAATATCCAAACGCTAGGTGATTCTGATCAAACCGACTATATTTAAGTAATCAATGTAAACGCATTTATTGATCGTCACAATTTATCACAATTGCACCGCACGGCCGCTTACATCGATCGGCTTTCATGGTTGCAGAATATAAATGAGCAACTTCATACAAACTCGGGCGAAAACGCACAGGTGTTAATGTCCGCGTTTGAAAGCCCAGCGTCTCAAATGCAAAATAATGCGGACTATGTTATCGTTTACTTATAATCCGCGCTTCTGCATTAAACTGAAAGACTGGATCAATTAACTGGCATTTCCAAGTGTGGACGGAGCTCGCACGTTTAGTTAAACGGAACAACATGTATGACTACGTACAAAATTAAATGAAATAAAAATACATAAAAGAGAAACTTTTTTATCCTGCGGCGTTTTGAAATATTTCCGAAGCTTTACTCACATTTTTGTGTCAGTCGTATCCCCTGCCGGCCGCTGTCATCGGGTTTTAATGTTAATTTCTATGTGTCTTCAGCCCGTCCCATTGTGGTGGACTCGCATCATTTCTCACCTCCAATGGAGGCTCAGGCTCATGTTAAATACGCGAAACACGGGCGGAGCAGCGGCGGCCCCTGGGCGGTGGGGGTGGAGTCTGCCGGCTGTAATGTGCGCTTTCTACGGGGGGCCGCCGGGTGAACAATGCTCAGGGTCCCGTGTGCGAGAGCCGGATGATGTCATTGGCGACCAATGAAGGAGCGCCGCAGCCGGACCGGGGAAGAATCAAAGCCGCTTGGCTCGGCTCGGTTCGTCCAGGCTCGACTCAACTCGGATCGGCACGGCTGAAAGCCTAAAACCCGGATGTCTGTTTGTACTGCTCAGGGTCGGCCGGGCTGCTTCTGCTTTAGAGAGTCTGAAATGTGCAAAATCATGCCTGCTGCACAAAAGCGTCCGGAGTCACTTGGCTTCCGTAAATCAATCACATTTGTTAATTGAAAAGCAGACCTTGATTTCTGTTAAAACATCAAGTATTCTAATTGGAGAAATATGTAACCACTTTAAATGTAGCTGTTTTTAATTTTCATTTATTTTCATTTCTTTTCTGTTTGTTTGTATTTCATGTGATTTGTGCCAGATTTACTCATTTAATAAAAACCCCAGTGCAATGAAAATATTTTCAAAATAATGATACATTTTTTACACATCCAGTGTCTCCCTTTTTCAATATGACTTTCAGCTGCATTTGCAATGGTGCAAATCACAATGCATTGGAACATTTTTTTCCAGTTCACCAGTTATGTGTTAACTTTGTGCTTTACTATTTAAGGAAAATGTTAGGCATAAGCAGATAATCGGCCTTTTGCACTAGCTTAAAATGATGTCGAGTTGTGAGCCCCTCCTAAAAGCGAGGATCATTGTGAAGTTTGGCCTCTTCAAAACAAGGACTATATTTTTAGTGCTTTTCCTGGGCTCAGCCCAAGTGACCCTGGAAGCCTTTACAAAATGTCAAGTAATATTGTTGGCAGTAAATCTCCCTGCCCCTCAGTGAAGGGTGGCTTGTGCTGTTTATCTGTGTGAAGGTGTTCTGTGGTGTGTGTGTGTGTGTCTGTCTGTAACTGTCTGTTTGTCTGTGTGTGTCTGTGTGTGTGTGTGTGTGTGTGTGTGTTTCTATGCCAATGTGTGTGCATGTGTGTGTGTTCTGTGGGTGGGGCTGCGGCTTTAACACCGCCCAACCGAAAAGCATCTAAGTGTTCTATTTATATGTAGAGGCAGAGTGAAACCATGCAGGACAAGTATTCATGCATCTATAAATAGTGTAGATCTGTTGTTCTTTTAAACACACAATCGAAAATGATCATAGCTTTTCTGAAAGGCAAACGGCGTGGGATTTACCGTGACATAAAACTGAGAGAATAAACTATTATTTCCCAGAAATTAAGAACTGATATGTATACAATTTATAATTCATATACATAAATAGTTTGTATATAGTTTGAACAAGTCCTACACTTTTTGCTTTCTCACTTGTTTACAAAATTTATTTTGAATACACCGGCGACAACAGAATGGAAAGTGAAAATTACTGGCATCCTGCAGGTTCCCGCAGCATAGCGCTGAAAAAGTGGCACTGGCAGAAGTGCTCCTGAAGTTACAGTCGCACAAGTCGCGCCTGCAAACATCTGTCGGCTGCCTTTCATAGGACACAGCGCCCGTCTGTGATGTAGCTCACCGCGGCGGAACCAACACCTGTCTGTGCCTCGTGCTCCCGCCTCCTTCTATAGTGCCAAGATACTCATGTGCAGAAACATTCTCCTCTCACCATCTGGGTATTTTCAGGTCCCTCTTCTCCTCATCAAAATCACCCTCATTCTTTATTCTCTGATTTTCAATTTTTTCCTCATTATTTTGTTCCGATTGTTTCTGGAGGTACTCTGACTTAGTTGTGTGGAGAACAAAGCTGCAATATCCATCCTCATCAAAGATCATGTTCTCAAAGTGCATGCATTACATGACCACTCAGTATTACCCATCCGTCCATTCATTCATTTTGGCACCCGCTTATCCTATTCAGGCTTGCGGGGGGTCTGGAGCCTATCCCGGAAGCTATGGGCACAAGGCAGGGAACAACCCAGGATAGGACATCATGCCATCACAGAGCACACTTACACAGCATTTACTCACACATGCATACCTCCAATTAACCTCAGCATGTTTTTGTACTGTGGGATAGACCAGAGTACCTGGAGGAAACCCCATGATGACACGGGGAGAACATGCAAACTCCACACACATGGGACCCAGGAGAAGACTCAGATGCCAGTGCCACAGGTTTGAGGCCGCAGTGCTGCCCACTGCACCAACCCAGCTTGTAACCCAGCCTATTACAGCATCCTCCAGGCCATCTGAACATTTTCACATGCATTTATTCATTCCATTTGGTTCCTCTTTACCCCATGATATATTTTGAAATATTGTGTCAAATTATTTTATGGCATAGCACAATATATTGCAACATATTGTAGGACATAAAGTAGGATATTGTGACATACCGTGTCATACTGAACCATATCTAATGTCTTCAGAGGCACATAATGCCACCATTCTGACCACCTTTTACACAGGCACCATGGAGCGTATCTTCACAAACTGCATAACAGCCAAGTTCAGATCCTGAGAAGCCTCAGAACACCAGTCCCTCAAGCTTAAAATCTATAATGACCACTGCATCTAAAGCGCCACTGGAATAATCAGGGGTCCATCGCACCCCCTCCACAACCGCTTTGCCCTACTGCTCTCTGATAGGACGTTCTGCAGCCTCAAAGCCAGGACAGCGAAAGTTTAAAACAGGCACCTTGGCTGCTGAGTGGTCTAAGCCTTCCCAGTCAGTGGCCGTTCTAGACCATTTTAACTGGGGCCAGCTGTTCTGTTGGGGGGGGGGGGTCAGATGCTTTTGACCTTAATGTCCTCTGAGTGTTATTTGCACTACATTGCCAGCATTCAGAAGCAAAAGATTTTCTTTTGAAAACTGGTAAGTTATGCAGTGCTTTGCAGTTACATTTTACAGTTTTCCCATTTTGGTATCTCACTCTGATCTCTTGTTCAGGCTGCCTTGCTTCCACAAACTTGATTATTATAATTTTTTTTGCCGTTAACTTTGCTTTTCGCCAACTGAAGTGACTCATCCACCCAGCACACCTGCGTTAAGAGTCTGCCGAGAAAATATGCTTAAATTTATGTTTCACCTGTTCCCAGTACACATAATTTTAGGCCACATATATAAATGTTATTAATACTACTACTAATAATAATAATAATCATAGTAATAATAATACCTTTATTTCAGACCCAAGTAGCATAGATATTTACGAGGTCTAGGGGGGGCATGCATGTTGTCACAGGGGTACTGGCCCCTCCGAATGTCTTTTATGTTCATATTTATATTCTAGTCATCAGAGTATTCTAGCACTATGACCAATATGACCGGCCTAGATGTTGATACTGCCCCATTTGGCTCCAAAACATTACATCAACAGAAAATTATGGAAGTGACCAGTTCGTTCTCATATATATGCAATAGAAGTATGTAGTGTTGATTCATATATAGAATATTGGGTGATCAGATAAAATTTGACTAAAATCCGGGATGTGCTGCAATTGCTGATACCTGACATAGCCCAAATATATCAAGGCCTGTAAGGCTCCTCAACACAGTCTGTCAAGCAACCAGGAGGGTTAAATACGAGCTGAATTTCCAAGCATTAATTAACTGATCCTTTAATTAATGGTAGTGAACGCGGACAGTCGACTAAGAAAGGAGGGGTCAGTTGATATTTGTCAACACTTAGCAAACAAAAACAGGAGTGGGGACGTTAGAAACGGGGTAATGCAGACGGGATGGGACAAGCCGCCGGGGAGGCGAGTAACCCGGAACGCGCTCAGCAAAGCAGCTACGCTCTTCTGAGTAATGCACTTCAGAGCGTAATTAAATATTTACAGCAAGGAGCATCAGAGAGGCGGCTGCTGTGCCTCTGGACCGACGCACGTGTTTCTTAGATGTCTGCCGCCTCCTTCCTACAAAGGATGTATTTTCTCGCTCAAAGCGTTTCCCAAAGTAGCAGCTACACCACATTTACTCTAAACTTACAATGTAGGTGCCTGCATAGCGAAGCGACATGAAGCAAACTGCCTCAGAACTGATTAGTGATATTTAAATAATATCTCTGTTCATCTGGAGATCACGGCCTGAACATTCGTGTCTTGCGTTACAGACTTGTGACACAATCCAGTACATCTGCTACATTGCAAGAAACATTCAGCTCTTTTTCAAGAAATCCTTTCCCTGGTCTCCAGCAGCTTTCCTGCCTTCCTGAGACACTCAGAGTCTTGTGGCTTACAGGATTACACTCTTCCCTGTTGCTGTCGACTATCTTTTTTTGCTTTTTTTTTTTTTTTTAAAAAAAGCGGTTGTTAAAATCAGCATGTCTGACAGAGGATCCTGTTCATTGTAACGTCTCTGTAAGTTCAGAACAGCACCTACCAAACAATTTATAGCTCATATTTTAGAGAAAGAAATAGACAAAACAGGACATAGCATAAGGTATGACCATCTACCGCAATGACCTATAGCTATCAGTCATTTCTCAACAGAATCTTCTGACAGGGGAGGTATACAGCGTACTCTGGAAAATTCTTATATTTTAAAACTATCATTTTTCAGACCTGGCTCCAGATATTTGAAGGTGCACAGATGGGCACAGTGTGGAGGTAACAGCTTGCATAAACAATATATCTGAAAATAATAGGGGGTGCGGCAGGCAGCCAGATTCTCGACAGCATGTCGATCGCTGCCCCTCAACACCACCGTGAGAGTATTTGAGCACAAAATACAGTGTCCTCGGGAGGCTTACAGGGTCATGAAAAATTATACTATGCAATACTATACTATACTATGCTGTATCATACTGTGCCATACTGTACTATACTATGCTACACCAGACTGTACTATACAATACTACAAGGCCCTGTATTATACTGATATATTATGTTATACTGAGCTATAATACATTGTATTTCACTATGCTATGCCATACTATACTATAATATGTCAAACTATATTAGCGATTATGTTGACATTACTAGCCAGTAAGTTAAAGTGGTAGAACAGGCGAGACGGTGAGGGTTTACTG